CCAGCAAATGCAGCTGAGATCTCCAGGAGGGATTTACACAGCCCAAGCCAGGAAATTGCAGGAAGGCGCTACAATAATAGTGGCTCAGTACGTTGACCTGGCAGGCAGCCAGAACACTGACACCCAAAATGACCTTTTGAGTATGGTAGTCTGCCAAAACGCCTGCTAGCTAGCCAGCACCCTGGCCAAACTCTGTCTTAATCCAGCAAAAAAGCTCATAGGCCATTCTTACAGGACAGGGGCTGCGTACCAGGAAGTCTGTTGAACGTGAGATCCTCCATGTGCTAATTTGATCCTGGGATGCAGAAATAGGGGGAATCTTGAGTAGGAGTGGAGAAGCCCACAGTTCAATAATGCTGATGAATTAGGGTTCAGAGGAGGCCACAATAATGGGTAAAGAATTAGGAAACCGGCCTTACAGTGATAGACTTGAGGAGCTTGATATATTTAGCATAAGAGAGAATGCTGAAGGGTGACTGATTCCAATCCATAAATGCATACACAGGGAACAAATATTTAATAAAGGATAGGGCTGTCAAGCGATTAAAACGTTTAATTGCGTGCGCCTCCTCTTTGAAACGCCATGGTGGCGTTTCAAAGGGGCAGCGCTGCATGGACCCCGGGGATCAGCTGGAGTCCCCACTGACCCCAGGCTCCTTGCAGTGCTGCCCCTTTGAAACACCACGGCGACGTTTCCAAAGGACAGCGCATTAGGAGCCTGGGATCAGCTGGGGATTCCAGCTGATCCCCAGCTCTGCTTGCGCTGCCCCTTTGAAGCGCAGAAGCAGCACTTCAAAGGGGTAGCGCAGCATTAACGCCTGCGATTAATGCGTTAAAAAAAGAACGTGTTAATCCTGTCCTGTGTTGATTGCAGGCGTTCACGCTGGTCAATTGACAGCCCTAATAAAGGGCTCTTCAGTCAGGTGGAAAGAGGCAGAATACACTCCAGAGGCTGGAAGTTGAAACTAGACAAGATCAGGCTCTAAATGAGGCATACGTTGTCAGGAATGAGAGTGAGTAACCACAGAACCTAGATGGTGATTATTTTAAAATCTAGATGGGGCTGTTTTTCAGAAAGCTCTGCTCTAGGAATATTGTGGGGCAGTTCTCTGATCTGTGTGATACAGGAAGTTTGACGGGATAATCCCAGTGTCCGTTCTGGCCTTTGAAAAATCTCTGAAAAGCTGAGAGGCCAGGAAACGGGACAAAACTTAGTAAAACGAAGTGGACTAGCTAGGCCCTGCACTGTCCAGGAGTTAGAAGGAATTAGGGAACAGAGAGTATCTGTTAGGGTCCCGTAGGTGGTTACATGATTAATTCCCAATGATACTCTGGGCCTGGTAGAGGAGCTTGATTCTTTCCAGATATTGTCTTCTGTGTTTCCATGGGCCACAAGCTTCTCTCGCAGTTCTAGCAAGTGGGGTGAAGGAGGTGGAGGGCGCGAGTCTCAATGGCATGCGGCTGATTGTGTGACTGGGCTCTGCTTGTGAGTGGGAAAAGTACTTTCTCCCCGGCTGTGTCCAGCGCGAGTGGAAAGCACATGTATCTGGTGGTGAGAGTACACGCTGGCAGGTGAGGAGCTAGGATTGCTACGGAGGGTTTTGACTTTCCCAGGTAAATGCTGGTGAAGTCTTTCAAGAGGTAGGATCTCAAGCAGTGCGTCTGGTAAGAACATGCCTGTTCTCCTTGGAACAGCTGTGACGTCCTGGGCTCCTGGCCGCTGTCTGCAGGCACACTGGGCACTCCAGTAGCATGCAGCAATATGAGGGGAACTAGAAAGGCTCTTTAAGGCTGGAATTCTGTGTTGTTACTCCCCAGGTACAGCTAGAGAAGCTGCTGCACTGGAACATGGCCGTGCGGGATTTCCATATCCTTGTTAACTTGGTCAAGGTGAGCACATGCATCTGTCCTTCCTTGCGCATTCCCAGCAGAGTCCACCCACCCAAGTCCTCTGCATAATTCACCGGGCTGTGGATGTTAATAGGCGCCATCGGGTCATTGTTTGCTTGACAATTGCAGGTGTTTGGAGCTATTGTGTTACAGACGGGCACATCAGTGTACAGCCTTGCCGGGTCTCAGGACAACCCTCACGCTGCCCCTCTGCACTTTTAAACTTGTGACAGCCCCCCC